TGGGGCCGTCCACCGGCATGGCGAGCGCGCACGGCGACATGCACGGCCTCATCGGGGCCACGCACAACGGCGCCATGGGCGCGCTGGGCGGCGGCTACGGCACGGGGCTGCTGTCGACCAATCGGCACTCGCTAATGGTAGGAGCTGTGATGATGTCATCGCCGGTCAGGGACCACCTGCTGTGTGTCCATCTGTTTGTCTGTTCATCCGTTGTTTCTCATGTTGTCTCCATTAATAGTGAACTTTTCATTAGTTGTTTTTATCTGGACTATAAAACGCCGTGAATTCTGGGAATTTGAGTCAGAAAGGTGTGAAAATGAGTCTAAACTTTAATCTGAAACATTCTGTTCACATCAGTTCATCTCCCAGAGAACCTGCAGAAACAAACTTTATATTTAGCTGTTTCTGTCACATCATGCAGGGAAGCTTAACTTCATTTAGAGACGTGAAGAAAGACGCTGGAGGCTGAGAGGTTCAGCGGGGATGTTTTCCACATTCAGGCCCTAAAACAATAAACATGAAGAACCAAACAGCTGCGTGACATGAGGAGGAGACAGAGCCTGAAATACGGCGGCGCACTGGAAACAGATCCAGATGCACCGTCTACCTGACCCTCACCTGATCGGTTTATCCCAGAAACGGCAAAGATTCACGGAGAGGTTTCACCTCCAGTCGGGAATAATCCCCACATGTTGCTTTTATAGCCGTTTAAAATGGAAAATCACCAATAAAATTCTGTGATTAACTGATCATCATCATTTCCCGTGTTTCCATCAACGTGTCTTTCTTCTTTCTGTTTTGGGGCGCATTGTAAAAGGTTGATGGAAATGGGAAAATGAAATAATGTTCTTAATTTTGCCGAAACGTTCCAGGCCTCAGCGGCTTTTCCAGAGAAAGAGGAGATGGAAACATCTGCCGCTCTGATGGAGGAAACTTTCCCATCAGTCTGAGCCGTACCAGAGGCACACAGCTGGGAAATACTTCAGAAGAGACGCGTTTGGTCTGAGTTCGCAACTTTACTCCTGACCGTCAGGATCTGATGGAATCAGGCTTGAAACCAGCTCGCCTGGTTCCAGCTCTTCTTCCTGCTCATGACTTCCCAAACTGACAAAACGTTGTTTTTAAGGGTATTTTCACCTTGAGACGTGAAACTGGTTTTAAAGAGGGTGTACTGTCTTTATAAGCTCCAGCTGAGAACCTGCTTCAGTTTCTGAAACGTCTGCTTCTCGGACAGTTTGGCTCAGAGCTCCGCTGAACGCCGCAGAGATTTAGCTTGAGAAAACAGTTGGTGTTAAGGATAATATTGTTACCAATTACTTTTTATCTTTGTGGAAGGAAATCCAAACAGTTTTAATGTGTAGCTGGTGAGAAACGAGCCTGGAGTGAGAGCCGCGTTTGCTTGTGGACTCTTTGGAGGCGTAAATGGCCGCCTGCTCCCGTAGAGGCCAGAGTTTGTGTTTATTCAGGGTGTGGAGTATTAGCTGCTGGAATAACATGCTCATTACCGCACAGCTGAACCTGCCGGAGGCGCCGAAATACTGAAGCTCAGTTACTCAGATCCGTTTAACGTCCAGGTCTGATCAACAGATTCATCAAATAAACGGTGGATTAATGTCAGGATAATGAAACTGAAGCTGGAGATGTTCATGAGGAAAACATCACTGTTTGTTTGTTTTGATGGTTATAAGGTTAAACTGTCTAAATTGGTCCTGAAATGTTGTATCTTTGTGTTTTTGGCCTGAAGCCGTTTCAGTGCTGCCCCTGTGGGTTGGACAGTGGCTACTGCAGGTCACAGTGTTGGAGCAGTGATGGAGCGGAGCGATTGGTTCGTCACATAAAAGTCTTCAATAGCAGATAAAAGTCACTGAATTTGTTTCTTTTTTAATTAAAAGTTTCTAGTTTATGAAAAGTTGTTAAAGTTGTAAAGTTGGCCACAGCGCCTCTGACTCATCTGTTCAGCCCCACATTTGGCCACGCCCCTCTGTGGAGCTTAGCTCCGCCCATTTTTTGTGAAATGTTTTAAACTTTGGGGGCGGGGCTAAGCTTTCACAGCAGGGTTGGTTACACTTTATAGGAGCAGTGTTATGTTTTCCAGGCATGTAGAGCCTCATCATCAAGTAACCATGTCGCCTTAATTTGGTATAAAAATATTATACATTTAAAATATGACTAATTTAATATCTTGAAATTGGGCCTCTGTCTCTTTAAGAAGCCCCTGCTCTTTCTGAAGCTCCGCCTCCAGGAAGTCAGCATATTTAACGTTTTTACCTGAGCTGCTCTGAGCAGCAGCTCCTATAATGAGCTCAGCAGCTGTTTGCTAACGGCTGCTGGCTAGTCTGAAGGAGCCGAGTGGGGGGGAGCTGTGGCTGGAGGGCGGGGCTTGGTCCACCCCGCCGTTTTGAACAGGGAATGGTTGCCATGGAGATGAAAGGATTTCTCAAACATGCATGAAAAAATCAGAATCACTGCTGGGAATAAAATAATAATGGAAGCTTTGAAATGTTGATTTTAATAGTTAACTGAGAACACATTGGGTGGTTCAATGCACACTCTGAAAGGTTTGGAGTGGCCTAGACAAAGTCCTGACTCAAATTGAAGCAAAGCAATGTGGCTCAGCCACCATGTGTTCAGAGCAGGCAGCTCTTCTGGATGGATGTTTGTCCATGAGGTAATGCGTTCAGGCTTTGTTGTTCTCTCTGTTCGCAGCGTAAACAGGAACTCTGAGAGGAAGTCGGATGTTTGAAAAAGTGACGGCATTGTGTTTGCATCAAGCCTATTTTTCAGTTTTGCTCCTGCGTTTAACTCTCTCCTGCCTGCAGTTTTCCATCGTTTTTGCTGCTCCTCTGTCTCCGCACACATTGCTCTTGTTTCGCCACATATTTACTATGTGACATCTTTGCTGCGATTCGCGTTTTGATCTCCCCGTCCCGATGGACTCGGCTGGCGTTGGCTCGCTCTGTGTTCATGCGCACGCACACACACAGCTGTCTGCAGTTTGGCAGCGCCGGGGCCGAGACGCTTGCAGGCTGAGATCATAACTCTGGGAAAACAGGTGGTAAGCTGATGTGGGACTGAGACATATACAGTTCACAGCTATGAGTGCATCGTAAACACAGAAGTAGATGCATATGTCCTAACAATCAGCGAGGTCGCCTCGCTGTTCAGGCTCAAGGTTTTCGGCCTTCACAGTGAAAGCTAAAGAAGCTAACGTCAGAAAATATGAAGACAATTCACCACTTTCCTCAATCTGAGCATTTTCTGCTTGACTCTTTAGCTTATTGAAGCAGATCAAACCCCAAATGAAAAAGTGAAAACACCTCCTTACCAACTAATCATAAAAAGAGAAAACATAAAGTCCAGTTCGTTCCAGTTTGATTGACGTCACCGTCTTCCTTTTCTGAATAAAAATAAAATTAGTAATGTGTTAACAGAACCAGACTGAGAATAAATACTCATAAAACGGAATAACATGCTCTTAAAGTTGTTTTTTAACGATGTGGGAAACTGTTTGTTATTGTCCCTTATGCTTTTTGAGCAATGTTAACATTTTCAGCAAAATAAACACATCTGGAGTAGTGATTTGGTAAATATGCTAAGATTAGCACAGCTTTTCCACATAAACATGATTTTTCATAGAGGTAAAACCTGGAATTAGCATGCTAGCTTCATAGTATCATAAGTTAAAAACTTGATCATCACTGGAAAAGGGGAAAAAACTTGACTATTATTTACTAATTGTTGAATTGTTAGCATGCTAGCCTTTGAGTTTTGCTTAAACTTTGTAAACTTTGACTACAAAAGTTCTGAGGCTGTTTCTGTTTTTAGAAAAGTTTCATTTTAGCAAACTACAGGCTAATGTAGCATTCTGACATAAGACCAAAGAAAAATTATTGGAAAAGAAAAATAGTTTTATAACAACGACTGTAAAAGTTTCTGTCCTAGCTTAGCTTTACAGTTTGCTAACTATGCTAAACAAACATTTCATGATTGGGGAAAAAGCAGATTTCTGAGACTACTTATTGCTTTTAGCATTTTAACTTAGCTAGCATTGTCACAAAAAGAAGAAATATAGCTGAGAATAGCTGGTATGCTAACTCAGAGCTATAGTATGCTAACTTAGAGCTATAGTATGCTAACTCAGAGATATAGTATGCTAACTTAGAGCTATAGTATGCTAACTCAGAGCTATAGTATGCTAACTCAGAGCTATAGTGTGCTAACTTGAACTTACAGTATGCTAATTCAGATTTATAGTATGCTAACTCAGAGCTATAGTATGCTAACTTGAACCTACAGTATGCTAATTCAGAGTTATAGTATGCTAACTCAGAGCTATAGTATGCTAACTCAGAGCTACAGCATGCTAACTATCATTGGCAAAAGGAGAAAAAACTATTTTTGTGTTTGCGGTTTAGAAACAAAAGATACTTTTTCTAACTTCACATAATTGTACCTACACTAAACAAATGAGTCATTATTGATAAAAGTTCAGGGATTATTGTTTTGTGTTCAAAGGTTCTCTTTAAAGAACGGCAGCTATGCTAAAAGTAACTTCCTGAAAGCAGCAGCCCTGAAAGTGTTGCTTTCAGGAATGGTTTTAAATTTGATTTTATAGCTCGCTAACTAGGGAGTAAAGAACTAGTCACCATCAGAGTACATTAAGACAACATTTATTGATGTTCTTTAGGAAGGTTAAAATTAAAACGAAAAGCTGCACCAAAACCCTCAAGCAGTGAGGTTTACTAACGTGGCCTGGCTGGGGTTAATTCAGTTCTTCTAATTACTTATAAATGTGAAAACAAAAGACGTAGCTCTATGTCATATGTGAAAAACAATTTGAAAAGACTGGAGTATGTTTTAAATAATCCAGGATGTCACGCGCTGTTGGAGCCTGGGCTCATTTTTCTGGTGGTTGTGGGCACTGCGGCTTCTTTTAACTAAGTCATAATGGCTGTCTGGAAAGTCATGTTGCTCTCTGCCGCTATAAAGTCCTGCTGTTTGTTTTACTGCATAGCTGATGAGTTTGAAGGGCAACTCTGGAAAAGATGGGAAAGGTTAAGCGACTGAGACCCCCTGCTGCTCTCTGCTTCCATTAAGAAGCGTTACAGTAAGTGAGTTGACTCATAATCTGCGTCAC